TTCTGATTAGGATATTCGTTATATAAGAAACATTTATAATCATAAACCCGAGGTATAGCTCTGTTTCGGATGATAGCTCTGTTTCAGATGATTTACTCTTTCATTAAGTTCTTTCAAAAACGAAAATTGTGAAGTGCTTATAGGTTATTTTTTTAGCTACTGCTTCTTTAGAGAGTTTCCAATTTCTAATCTTTCATTTTAAACTGTTGAACAATTCTATTTGCTCATTTTGGACAAGCAATGCTAAACTTGAATACTCTTTGTTTCTTGGAAAATCCAAAAGTGGCGCCACGTGACAAATCTAGATACGGGGTATGTCATTTGTCTTTCTACAAAGCCAAAAAGGAGAATTTTCTCGACGACTTTGTTCTTTCTTATGGTCAACTCCTTATGAATGGTTGGAAGAACGTTGGTTTAAAGCAGTAATTTGTGCCTTCAAACAATTTACAGAAAAAATGAATGTCTTTCTACAAAATGAGTTATTAAATTTACCTTTGACAACTCTAAAAATTTAAATATTGCTGTAAATTAAAGTTAAAAAATCCTAAATAAACTAATGAAGTGCAAATCAAAGTAAACTTGTAAACAAAAGATGCATCCAAGTTTAACTAAGCATGTTCATTACTACAATCTATAGATAGGACTAGAAATTAAATTAATACAAAAATAAAAATTTAATCTTAAATGATCATGAAACTAATATGAACAAATATTAAACTAACATGTCAAAAACCAAGAAGAAGTGTAAATGCCATATAAATAATCATTTAAGAAAACACTATTTATCATAAACCTTAATTGAATAACAATAAAAAATGAATAGTATCTCATAGAAATTGAAAAGATTATTGTTCATTACACAGGAGGGAAATTGCAAAAGTAACTGCATGAACTAATTTAGCTATTTGAATGATGAAACCAACCTAAATCTACCAAGAATTATGCTAAAAACTGAAATCTATAAGTCAAAGTGCTCAATTGCTAACAAAATCTAAAAGTGTTAAAGTTGATTCTGGGTTGTGTGTAGGGCTGATTGTGTGTTAAATTATCAAAAGATTCACTTTTGTTTCTTTCCTCTAAAGCCTAAAACTCTCCGCTACTTGGTAGTTGCAACATGTGGATGGTTTGCTGCAGAAGATGATCACCTCAGTAGTGGACTAGGTCAAAACTTTGTCCAAATCTTGTCACTTGTCCCTCTTATTTGCCAACTCAATACCTTAACTAATTTATCTCCTTAATAAATTTAGCAATTACAGGTCCACTTCAATTCAAATAAGCAATTAAATAGATGATCTTCATCTATTTGAACTCCGCCTTCCATGTGGTAAGTGATCTCTCAAGGGTCCTAGAACATTAGATTTGATGTGGCATCTTTTTTTCCATCCATTCAAAAATAAATGACTCATGACATAATTTTAAATTTTTGCAGTTTATGATGTAAACACTTTTTAGGAGGGTAACCTACGCGTTGATCCTCCTTATTCTCCAACAAAATTTGTAGATAACAAAATTCTCACAACAGTTACAGAATCTTGAATTCACTAAACAAAACAAATTATACTTTTTGATAAACATAACATAAAACTCTATATAGGTTTTTATGCATCCTCAAACTAGAAATCAATCAAGTTGTACTAGATTACTTTACCCTTTTTTAATAAGAAATAGAGATTATATTAAAAGAAATAAAATTGAGATTACATATGAATCCATATATCATGGCATATATACACAAAGTAGAAGTATATCCTATAGCATTAGATACAAACTTAAACTATATCTATGAAAAATATAGACAATTAAGTATATAAAGTCATTTGCACTTAAAGATTACATTAACAATCGCTATCGAGGCATAAATAGAGTTACAAACATAAAAAGAAAATCGCTGCAAGCATCCTTAGCTACTAGAAATTCTCACTTCTATGCCAATTTCTTAGGGAGAGTAGACAGTTAGGCTATCAACATTCTTCACCCACTAATAGCCCTACCATTAAGTTGCACTTAAAAATTAAAAATTAACTTTACCTATGCTCGAGTTCACTACAGTTTCACTTGATTTATATATTTTAGACCCAAGTTGAATTCAAATTTGTTACTATAGTGGCCCAACACTTTGTTATGGGTCTAAAGCCCAAAGTTGAACCCATGTACAAAATAGTTTTGGAGAAGAGGACCACACGTTTGCTAAAAAGTGGATCAATAGTCATAAATTGGGTTACAAAGACCCCCACAAGTCCATCTCAAAAATAGTTATACTTCCTCTCAAGTTCTCTATCTATGTTCTCTAGTTGAAGGCTTTTCAAATTTAAAAGGATCCACTTGAAGGGTACTCTTTATTTTGTACCTCAGCTCAAAGGATTCCATCTCCTCTTTATGTTGTCACTTACGCAGATTAGGCAGGATATTTGAATACTGGTTGCTCCACCTTTGGGTATTATTTATTCTTTGGTAATTCCTTCATTTCTTGGCCTTTTAAAAAGCAATTTACAGTTTCCCAGTCTAGTGCAAAGGTTGAGTATCGTGCCATTACAAATGCAGGGGCAGAAGCTACTTGGGAGATGCAGTTGCTTCCTGAGTTATATGTTCAGGTTCCTGCTCTAAAAATGATTTATTGCAATAGGGTTTTCTAACTTATCTCTTTATGTGAAATTAACTTTTAGTAATTAATTTAATATAAAAATTAATCTTAATTTTTATACTAATGCTTCTCATATGATTTTAAT